GGGCTGTGTGCGATTTTGCGAGTGTGGTAAAATCGCATAACAGCAAAATCGCATAACAGCCGAGCATACACTCAGCAGCGCTGCTGATGCCTGAATGGTATGTGGAATGAAGTGGGCGGGCATCGGGAGGCCACTATGGCACGGGGCAAGCACTATGGGCAGTCTATCTGAAGTGTACCTGGCGTATAAGACGACCCCCCACTTGGAGGCATATTTTTCAGGGCCAAAAAATCGTCTTATACGCCGGCAAATACGGTAATTATATCTAGACATTACTGACTTTTAAACTCTTTCTCATGAGTGTACATTTAGTAAGCAAAAGGACTGTGAGGTCCTCAATAATTAAGAGATCAGAAAGATAAAGAACTATTAATAATGCACTGCTAAGAAAGGGAAAAAATAACTCCTTTTAGCCAAATCGTCTTTGAAATAACATCATTTGCACTTGGATCTTACAGGTCAGTAGTTAATAAGACTCAGCAGAGAAACACTTAAGGGGCAAATTTCTCACGCATGAGCACATACTCAAATCATCTACATTAATTTCACATTAATTAGAATTAATTAAGGTTTCTGGAAAGCAAATATTTATTTCTTTACTGATATTATAAAATAAGCTTTCCTTAAGAGCTTATTTTCCATATCTAAGGTTAGATTTTAGTTGCATTTTAAAGGAGACCCACATCAGACTGGAAAGACAACTGTTTCAAAATATACCATTTTGTGCTTGTATGTGTATGTGCTCAGTTAACTGAAAAATGGTTTCAAACTCAAAGCATTATTTTAAGCTAAAATAATCTGATAGACATAAAATAAATATACACTGAAAACTACTGCTTTCAGAGCACATTCTTTTCAGACAAATATGCAGCCTGTGCATGAAGCACTCGAGTAATATATTCTTTGTTGAAAAAGAATTTAACAGAAGTACTGGTGTAGTACCTACACAAATATGTCTTTTACCCTTTTCCTAAATAAAAGAACCCCAAGGAAATTAAAGGTAGAAACCAAGGTAATGTAATGTTATGGCTGAAAGGGTGGCAAGGGTTATGAGAGAGTATTTTTTCTGTTTTTCTAAGCTAAGTCAAAACAATGCAAAAGTGTTAACATTTAACACTCTCATAACTAAGTATATTCATTGGTTAACTAAACCCACTACACAGGCTAAATGTATAGTAACCAATACCTGATTATGTGTCCCTGGTAAGGTAGGTGAATTAATCATTGGCCCCCAAAACCTAACTTTTACCTCTCCTAACTCTGAGAACTACAGCACACAAAATCCAACTCACCACACGTTGCAACCATCCATTAAAAAACTACAACTATGTTTTAATTAAAATTGTGCTTAATTTCCAGTTCAGCAGTACTGACACGTTAAGGGCCCAAGATGGAGACAATAAACTCAACTCAAACCCAAGTTATCTAAAATATGATAGTCCTTCTCAACTATATAATTTTCTCAAAGGGAAATCCTAAATTAAAGAGACTGTATCCTGTGAGCTGGTTAATTAAATCCTCTAGCCATAATTTCTAATACTATGCTTAAACAGCTCATAGAAAGATATTAGGAGATTTTGCTGGCAATCACTAATGATGTTGTTTCTGTCTTTCAGAAAATTATTTTTTAAAGGAAAAGCTTTATTTTTAAGTCTATTCCAAATGCCTGCTTGGAATAGAATCACTCCTACACTTCATTAATATTTGAGAGAAAGACAATGGCAAATTAATGCAAAGACCAGACTGTAAACCACAGCACACATATAAACAACATAAAAATTTACGAAGCATGCACTAGATGGACCCAACCAAGAGTTCCCAGTGGCATTCAGTTCAGTATCAGTTTTGTTCTCACTAATGTAGATTCTTGTACCATTTCATACAAAGATCCACGTGATAAGAGTTACTGTTAGATCTGAATGGCATTAGACAGTTATTTAAAACTAGAGGCCCGATACACGAAATTCGTGCAAGGGCCTTGGCCCATGCTGCCGCTGCCGCTGCCACTGCCACTGCCACCGGGGGCCTCTGCCACCTCTGCCGCAGCCCCCGCCTGCTGCAGCTTTGTCCAGAAGGAATGATGTCTAGAAGGACATCTGCTCTAATTAGCATATTACACTTTTATTATTATAGACTATTTTTAAAAAGACACTTATCCACTAATTTAGCGACCTGCAATGGGCAACTAGGAGCACTAGTTTAAAGGGGGATGGTGCTAGATTTTGTTTATAATCACATCATTCCATTTCATCCCAAATTTTG